GATACGATGATTAAAGTATAAACTTTGTCCTTTAAAATCTTGTTTTTGTGCTATTTGTTTTTGATTTGGGTAAGGTTTATTTAATTGACATACTATACAATCATTGCATAGTACTTTTATCCAAATTGGTGCATTTGGGAAGTAAAAATTTTGTATAAAATTTGAATATGTTTTCTCTGATCCAGAGTGTCCTTTAATGTTTTGTGTATGTGAAATATTAAAAGCTATAAGAATCATACTTATAGGGAGACAGGGAACTGTAGATTCATTAAGGTTGTACTCTAAAAGGTCTGTATTTTCGTTAATTGTTGTATTGTTAAACTTGCGAAAGTATCGGAGGAGTGTTTTGTTTCCTAGAATGGTTGAATCTGCTTTGATAGGTTTAGTTTTATATTTGTGCCATGATTTTAGTTGTCGAATTACTGGGTCAAGGTTTTGATATTGTTTCAGTGTTGAAATTGTAATTGTTTCTGTTGGGGGGAGAAAAATGTTTTCGATTTCTAATTTAGATAATGGTATTGTATCAAGTGGGTCGTGAAGGTCAAAAACTTGATTTATTGTGTATTTTGAATCATTTGTTTGTGGTCCTGATAAATTTATTTTATCAGTTAAATCTTCTTTTTCAATTAGTGGAAAATGGTCTTTTTTAGGTAGGTGTTGTTTTGTTCGTTTTTGTTGGGTGTTATTTTTTATCCATTGAGAATATGGAATTGGTTTAAAAGTTGATGTTCCAAGTAGGTCAACTTCATAATGATTATTTTGACAATCTAAATAAAGTGGGAAATGTTGTAAATTATTTATTTGTGATTGTTCAATATCAGTTTTTACTGCATATTTGCATTCTAATCGAGGTGATGTTTCGTTTTCTGCAAGGTAGAATTTTATATTTTTGGGTATTTCAACTGTTGTTTTTCGTGTAAGTAATTCAGGTGGTGTATTTCGACTTAAGGTGTCTGGTAATGCAAGATTTTTTCCTGCAGTCCAAACTATATGTAAGTTTGGAAATTTCATTAGAATTAGTTGAAATCTGTAAACTCGGTGGTTTGGGTTAGATTTCTGTGTAAAAAGAAAGATGATTGGTTTGTGGTCTGTGAACAAAACTGTGGGATGTTTTGATCCAAGTATCAGAAATTCATATTCTGTAAGTGTATATATTATGGCTGTACATTCTCTCATTAGAGTTGAGAGTCGTAGCTCTGCTTGAGTGAATAATCGAGAATTTGCTGATATGAGG